AATTAAAAACATTTTTTTTAGACATAACGTCAAACGTTGACAACACAATGTCGGTTCTGCTGAACATACATTTGCCAAGGGTCAGGGAGAGAAAACAATTAACAAATTGTGTGCTACAATTATTACATTTTAATACAAGTTATTTTTCAAAATCAAAATTAAATACATATATCATATAATATATATGTAGTATGTACTATAATAAAGTATGTTATACATATATTGTATACCTAACGATAATATGCCTCAGGCAATTCGGCGAAACGTAGGTATGAAGATCGTATAGGTACTTGAGAAGTGTTTTTGATTCAGTGATTTGTTTTGTGTTTGTTCAACACCTGAATAAAAGTATTTCCGATCAGAAAATTGTGCTTAAATATTATTTACGTGCTTACCTTTTAATGAGAGACCTACGTGCCAGCAGTCAATAAAGTTTGTTTAAACTGAATAGCGCTATGGTATATGAAATCCCGATAGTCATTACCATTTTGTAGGAACGGAGGTAGGTATACCATAAGTATACGATTGACAAACGCATACCGTTGTACCTCAACAAAGCTAACAATGCTAATCTGGTTTATTCTAGAGAGAGAGTCTTTACACATTACTCATTAGCTTAGAGCAGCGTTTCTCAAAGTGTGGGTCGCGACCCACTGGTGGGTAGTCGGTCAATTTTTGGTGGGTCGTGAACATTTTTTTGAATTATATAGATTCCAAGAAATGTATGTTAGGTACCTCATTATAAAAAGTACATTTTAATTATATTAATTATATTTTTATTCATATTAATTATAAGCCTATAAAAAAACCAAAGACCTAATAAAAATGTATACATATTTATATAATACAAATTTTGTTTTTCACAAATTGTTGAAAAGTGAAACAATGTGGTTCGCGAAAGATTTTTTGGGGGAAATTTAGGTCACGGTATTAAAAAGATTGAGAACTAGAGGGTATGAAGGTAAGGCGTAGTATAGGTTTTATCACGTGTCACTCTATAAGGGAGATACCGTAAGACCCAACAAAACAAATTTTATTGAAGTATTTAGAAAAAAATCTAAAAGAAATGAAAATGGAAAATGTCTATAAATAGCTTAAAACAAGTAAAAATATTTTGAAGTATCATTATAGAAAATAATGAAATAAACATTTGGTGAAAATTTTAAGTACCTACGATTAATAATTTTTGAATAACAACAAAATAAGAAAATCGTTGTATAAGAATTTGACAACTTTTTTCCAATATATATTTTATATCTAATGAGTAATGACTAACTTGAAACGTTAAAAAAAAATCAATTTAGTTTTCACCTTTCTGGAAAACTTTTATTTTTATTTAATGTAGGAAAAGTCACAGGGAATATTGTCCTTCATTTAAAATCTTAGATGTACAATTTTTATGAATTTCTAACTCAAAATAATATATTAATATACACAATTTTCGTGATTTTGATGAATTTGATCAAAATTCTAATTTCCGACGATTATAAAAAAATGATAGAGGATTCACCCTCAATTTTTTTCAATTTTTACTAACAATAACTTATGAGGAGCTTATATACAATTTCAAGATTTTTGACCGAGCAAATATTTTTATATTGACAGTAATTTTTTAAAAAGCTAAAAAAATATAATATACTGAATTTATTCTTCTTCGATGACCAGGCTACTTTTTTAAAGTTTTAGCCATCACTGCGATATCACACCACTTATCTGTGTGTTTCACAATATCATGCCAATTGTCTATACCTATTTCGTTCAGATCTTTTGTGTCACTCCTTGAATCTATCTCTTTCTGGGGTATCATCGTGTTTATTTTTCTTGAGGTTTCCATTTGAAAACCAACCTTAGAGGGTCGATTTCTTCTCCTCTTAGAATAAAATCTAACCATTCTAACCATTGGAATTTTTTACTTTTGATGTACTTAATTGCCGATACTAAATCCATAATTTCTTGCAGTTTCCTATGGTCTGTTCTACACCAACTTTTTGTATTCGTGTCGAACACAGGGCCTCCGATTTTTCAACATACTTGGTATTCTAATTTTTTTAGCCTCCTTTTCGTTATCGTCATTGTATTCAAAGTTTCACAGCCCTATGTGAATATGGGTATTACAATTGACACATATAATCTTATTTTAGATCCAATTGATAACGTTTTGTAGTTTAAAAATAGCATTGTGCATAAGAGGAATTGTTCGCATTGTTTATACGAATATTTATCTCTTTGGACCATTCGTTTTTATGCTCAACGTTGCTCATAGATATTTCAATTCCTCCACTTTTTCAAAAGTTAGCCCTTCTCTTTGATGGGGGTCTACATCATTTTCGATTAGCTCCATTATCTATGTCTTGCAAGAATTTATTGTTAAGCCGACTTTTCACATAGCCTTTTTTAATGCTGTACTTCTTGCGTTGGTTATGCCTGTTAATGACTGTTCTATACAGAAGAGAGACTTTACAATTATTTTTGTTTTATAACATAATTTTGGTTTGGGTTTTCTGTTATATGCATTGACAAATACGCCTATTTCATAGATAATATTAAATACGATAATTAATTAAATTATTAAAAATTATAGAGTAAATATAATATAATTTACAATAAGAGAATTTGGTTTTCACTCGAATTGTATCTAAAATAAAATATTGGAAACCTATGCTGGTTTTATCCCATATTCTCATATTGAACCTAAAACCAAATCTTAGTCATGCCTATAATAGCCATTGTTTTGAAAACTTATCTTTAGAATGTCTGAATAGAAACAATAATTAATGACTCTCGGGACAACTAAAGTATCTTAGGAACATTTTATAGGAAATTTTGATGGACAGTGGTCAATGGTCATAAAATACTAAAGCAGTAGTATGTACTATGTAGTAATAGATAGTTATTACAGGAATTGTACTAATATAATCGGTCGGACCACGCGGGTCTACAATATAACACATTGTATACACTAGACAACCTTATAACAACTATATAGTAACAGCATTTCAAAACGAGAGTAATATAGAAAATACAATAAATTAATATTTAATTATTACACATAAATTAATGATGTAATACTGGCAGCGCCATCTAACGGTGAAAACATCGTACACCCAGTCTTGACAACTGCTCAATTTTGTTGCTAGATAACGCTGGCGTGTATGTTATGTTTTAAATTTAATTTCCTGCTTTTTCATCGATACCGACCGTTTTAATGTGAGCAATTTTCTATGAGCTTACGGACGGGTCATGCAAACGTATGCGGTATGCCTAATAAGTGATTATTGATGTGAGTGTGATAGTATTTACGAGAAATAGGGGAGCCCTCCTGCAACAAGTGCACGCACATGTCAATAACGGTGCCTTATTAACTATTAGTTAATAGTATTGCTCGGAAGTCATAGGAACTAAAAAAAAAAAATATGCATGTAAATAAGCACTAAAAAATTGTGAAACATTCAAAAAATGTACTACAAATTCAAAACGATTTTATGTTGTTATTAATTTGCAATAAAAAAAAAAATGGAAACGATAGAAAAATAAATTTATAATATTAAAAAAAAAAAACACTTTATGATTGTAAAATCATTACATTCATCGCTCCGCGCAGAATGTAAAATATATAAAAAAATATATTCGAAAAGATTGTACACCACTCACCAGAATATTATAGTGCAATAGAGATTAATATAATGCATATCGCAGTATCGCTCTTTTTTCATTAATTTAATAAATAAAAATCGTTGTGACGATAACAATACATGCAAAGATTAAATAATATTGAGTTGAATATTCAATATTATCATTAAAATACATTTAAGAAACTTAAGAAAGGAAAAAATAAATTTTTTTAGAAAATATTAAAAATGCATAGGGCATAGCATCTACTTAATACTTTGTTTTCTGTTCGTCAACATGTTAATTTATAAGAGTACTTATAGTACTTTATTTTTAACAGTACTTAATGATATTATACTATTAGTTATTACCTATATAATGACGCTAATTTCCATGGTTTTTATATTACAAACTTCTAAGGAAAATATTTTGAATTGGAAAATGAAATTTTATACTAAAAACATATAGGTAGTACAGCCATTTAAAAAAGTAAAACCCTAAAAATAGTAAAAAGTATATTTTTTTCAGTCATTTTGATGGCCCAAGAGTAAATATGCGGAACGAGGACAGCAGGGGAGTCGCCGATTATATATATATATATATATATCCCTATTGTACCACTCATAATATATATTATACCATATGTATATTGGATATATATAAATGATAATTGTAGTCGTTTCCATCGAATTTCACAAATTATATAATAATATATAATATATTGAACCCTAAAGGTCTGGTTAAATAAACAAAACAAATAAAAAAAGTTCAGTATATCCCATTTTTATAGCGATTATAAGTTATAATGTTAGAAATATATATACACCCATTTCAGTGTGATATTGTTCTTAGTATATTCAAGTACATTAGACATTATATAGTGGTGGTGCAACTACGGTATGTATATTAAATAGCTTTAGAATAATTAGTTATTGTAGAATTCATAGTCCAATGTAAAGAAAAATATGTGTTTAAAATGGTATCATATTTTCATAACATATAAAAGTAAATTATCTTGTACAACTAAAGATATTATTATAATATTATTATTTATTTTCATATGGGTAGGTACTAGGCATAGGTGTGAGTGGTACGACCTGTAATAGAGATACATAAAAGAAAATCAAGAAAATCATATAAGTACATATAGTATGTAGTATAATTTTTTTAATAAATAACTGGTATCCTTACCAGTTGCTTACAATTTAATGACTATTTTTTATAAATGTGCATAATATCATATTCATTCAAGTCAATATATTAGCTATATTACAATAACATGTTTTGAATCTTCTTTAAATGTATACAAATTATTTCATCAGTTATTCATTACAAGTAAAATACATTGTGACATTATTGTGTAATTATTTTGTAAAAATATTAACATTTTTTAACCTAATGGCACCCATATATTTCAATAATTTGTCTTAAGTCTTATTCTGTCATAAAGTTCAATACAATATTTAACTAGGAATGTAAAACTATAATATTAGAGGCAATAGTTAGTTTATTTACAACGTATAAAAATATATCACTGTTTTTCTTAGCTAAAGTATTAAGATATTTTGAACTAAAATGTTACATATTTCCATATTTTATGGATGTCCAGAGCCGCAAAAATTACCTTTTGTTTTTTTAAATATACAGTGCTACTGATTATTATTAGTTAATATTGGAATTAATCAATACGGACGATATACGATAAGACAATCGTATAATCTAAAAAACAAATAATTCAGTCAACATTATGAATATAATATTGAGATGTATACTAAAAACTTACTGTTGAAAGCAATGGGAGATTAATAGCTTTATGTGTGGTAATATTCATATTTAATTTATTTGAACTGTTCATTTGCATTGTGAATAGAATCATCTTTTTCATATGGATGTTCATTCCTGGCCAGTCACAGCAATATAATCCAAAATTGACTCCATCTCTCTTGAAACAAATACAATATCATGTTGAAAACACGTACATTAATGCTTGGTTCGAAATACAATACTCTGTCATTGACGCGTTGAAATAAACTACAATACATGTATGACTGCACTCCAGCAATACCCAACGTAAACACGAATTTTAACGTTTCTGGATTAAATAACGATCCGTATTTCACGAAGTACTATATAAAGACATTCTCATTAATAAAATATGGTTTATTGTAATGAAACTATGTAAATTAATTATCAATTAGGTGTAGCTAATTTGAATTTCAAATTGCATTTTACACTTTGATTTTACTATAGTAGAATATCACGTTAACACTCACCACTACAATTAAATAAGGCATGCATATCATTCCTAAAGCATCTGCCATCAACTGAATCAAACCGATTGGACGTATAATATCATAAAGCATTTTTAATTTCCTAAAATTTTCCATCGAAGTTAATAAATTATATACTTAAAACTTTATAACTCTTGTAACTGTCTCTATAATATATATATTTAGTCATTAAGTAAGTAAATCATAACATAAAAAAAAATATTTTTAGTGAAGTCAGTCTATAGTCTATATTATTACTAACTAATTAACAAAATTAAAAAATATGGATAGTTTATAATAACACGGTAGGTTGATTAAATTGCTGTTAAAAACATTGTATTTATTATATTTGTATTATATGTATTATTATAATAGTGTATATTAAACAATTATAGAATAAAAACTAAATTTCACTTGTCTTTAAAAAGTTCAAAGAGTCAAAATATTTTGTTAATTATTCCATGTATATAAAATACTAATACAAACATTTAGTCAACATTTCAAGTTTCCACAGCTATTCGCTTTTATAATATTTTTACAACAAAATAAGAAAATTGATCTTGCCGAAAACTGGTTTTGAGGTAAAAATATTTGTTTTTTTCCAAATATTAATCATCAACTTTTCTATTTTGACCTCCAAAAAGTACAAATAAGATACTTTCTTATCAGAAAAAAAATTTTAGCTTAAAATCTAGATCGTTGTTAAATAAATACGCTTAGAATCTAAAATGAATAGATACAATCAATCATTATATGTATTTTATTATTTTATGCTATACACATTTATTATTCAAAACAAAAATGTTAATATGGTAGTTTTAACATGTAAAGTAACTCAGCTATCATAATATTATAACCTATATAAGACAGAAGATAGTTATAACTTATATTTAAAATATAAATAATTACTCACTTGTGAATTATTTGACTATCTGAAACAATTGATATAAATGTCTCCAGAAGTTTCTCATCACTTAGAATGCTATCTAAACATATAACACGTGATAATAAGTAATAAGATAATGTAAAGCCTTAATATTTTTAGAAAAATAAATAAAAACGAAATGTTTAACATGAGTATTTTTTACAAATCGGATACTTAACATTATTTTACTAACAGGGTAGGCACATTTATATTTATCACTTTTCTAGTATAATCTACTAAAATCGCTCTAGTCTTTAATAATTTACTAAAAAGAAACAAACTGTAACATTATTATAGCTATATAGCCAATATCAATCCATACAGAAAAATTAAAATGTGAAATTCCGATTCTATAAGTAATACCTACGTTAAGATAAATACTAACAACGCACCATCTTTATTGTCCATTCTGTACTCCAAAACTTCAAATGCAGATGCTAATAATTTGTATTGATATGATATTACCATTAAGAGGGTCATTGAAAATAGGTCTAATGCAAATACTCCAAATCCGGTATAAAATAAAATTATACATTCTGACGCATAAAATATTTTAAAAAAGGTGTTGTATATTTCTGTAGTAAACGGGTATCTAAGGTTGATTATGTTCATTTTTTGAATAGTCTCCGTATTTTGTGTTGCGTCAATGGATCTAGCATTGAGAACTATTGGCACGATCGCATATGACGTTAACGTGATCAAAACAAAAGAAAAATACAAATTGAAGAATTTTGATAATAGATCACCACATTTTAAGATCTTATGATAGTTTCTTCTGTAAAATGTATTTGATAAAAATGACTTATCTGTAATTTCCATCATATTCCAAAGTTGTCTAGCTTTAAAAATTATTATAATTATTTTGAGATTTCCAATCGTTATACAAACCGTGGAAAATATTATAAATATTATATCAACTTCACTAGTGTTATAGTTGTTATTTTGCACTTTGTAAAAAAATCCAGATAGACCCAAAATCGTCATGATTGTTGTAAATGTAATGAATACAATATTTACAAAATGGTATACATTAAAACCAAATATTTTTTGAGTATTTGGGTCCACCATTTGATAAACACCAATTAATTTGAACAGCGTAAAATTTACATCGTAGATTTTCTGTTTATTCATGTTTAATTAAAAAATTGTCACTGAAAATTAAACAAAAAAATATGTAATAAACGTAAAGTGACAATTTTAATAAATTTTGTTTTTTTTTAATGATTTTTGCATTTGTCTTTTTAAATACAGTTTTATCATTTTTAAGTGTTAATGCTAAATAAATCCATAACCAGAATTAACAATGTAAAATATCAACAACAAAATAAATAGTTTCAATATGATTTGAAGCATTATTTAAATATACCTACTATTATGGTTTTACCTGCAGATAAACTATAAGATACTAAAAAAGAGGTTATCGATAACCCGAGCTTACGAAAAATGTTTGGCTAAAGATCAATCTATATAATATTATTCTATAATGTGATATGTAAACTATAGGTTTACAACGTATATTGTTGTATTTAGAATAAATACTGAATAATAAAAAAAAATGCTTGAATGTAAATCATACCTGGCGTCTGTTGCATCGACTATACCTCAAATCGAACTAAGAGTGTGATTTATAAAAACATTTGCAGTTACTGATTGAATGTCTTGTGTCAATTAATGTAAATTATACTATAATAATGTCTTCCAAAGCTTGTATTTAATTTGTAGTTTAAAATATCCCTTATAATTTACCAGTCATAAATATAATGATAACCTAAAAATATAGGGTAGGTTAAGTATTATTTAATTAGTTACTATGGAATCGTAAAATTAAATATTTATACTTTTGTCTAAAATACCTGTATAATTTTATAAACATTATTAATTTATACTTCCAAGTCTCATATATAACCTCACCATTGAGTAGGTAGGTCAAGTGTGAATGCGCTAAATTTAAATTCAATGATAAATCAATATAATATACGAAAAACGATTCTGAGCGGAGGTGGCTAGACTTGTGGAAGCCTCTTTTTTAAATGATATTTTACAATTAATATTTATTAAATATATAAGTAATGTATTTTTTTTGCAGTTGTACTATGAGTCGAACTATTGTAATTATGCTTATGAAGAAACTTATAACTTCAAATTTGGATGAAATTTTTAGCAAATAATAATATTATTCGTGAGTTCTTGACTTTTAAAGTATATTATCATAAACATAAGCTGGGGAGGGCGTGAGAGAGGGTAATTGCCCATCACTAAAAAATTAAGATGAACTTAGTATTTTGTAAATTAATTAGAGAAATATTATCGAATATTATTTTAAAGGAAGAGTTCAATCAAGAAAAGTATAATATATTTTGAACGATTAAATGCGGTACCCATCACTTGTCCATCTTTTTATTATTATGTATAATCAAGCGTACGTAAGTGTTTTTACTTCTGAATCCATAACTATTTCGGTTTTAACACTGTTATCGATTATGTTGCTAAATTATATTTATTTTTTGCTATTTATCATATTCATCGTCAACGCCGTATTTATGTATACGCATTAGGTACCTAGGAACTAAAGTTTTCTCTAACATAAAAAAAAAATTCAATATGCATGATTAGGTATAAGATTTTATTTTGAAAATATATTTTGCTTTAAATTGATTTGCAATTAATTTCACCAATTTTTTGTGTATAACATTATTGTTTTTATGTATGGTAATAAATATTGAAATTAACCAAAATTTGTTATTATTTACACTGGTAGGTATATTCTAAATGTCGATACCTTAATGAATACCTTAAATAAGAAATACCGTTGTATAAACTAATGAAAAAGGGTATTGAACAAGGTGGCACCTCAGAAATATTTAATTAGACAGTGTAAAGACGATCTTTCAATTAAAACTACCAAAATTTGCATATTGAAATTGACTGATTAGGGTAATTCATTGATATTACGTTGAACCACTTAGCCCACATGTAGACATTTTACCCTGTTAGCTTTGATATAACCACCAATGATACAATTTCACGCTAAACTTAATCATTTATAAATATAAATAAGAGCTAGAAATGTGGATAAATGTTTGATTTTATTCTTTTAGTATTGAATACATTATTAAATTATAATATAATATTCTAATATTATGCATAGTATTTGTTATAATATGCACATTGTCATATGCATATGTAAGTCAGTTTATCCACTGGAATTATAATGCCACGGTTACCAAATATACTACGATTGGCTATATAAATATTATTTAACGGTATAAATTGTTGACATATATATCCTAGACATATAATCATAATCATTCTTCTACATTAATATTAAATTATTTAAATATTTAAATATTTGACTATTATTGTGTATACCTTTTTACAATACAAAATGTGTCACCGACTGTCATGCTATTGCCTTATTCTCGTTAGTTACTTTCGATTATTGACAAATAGTGTTTAGATATAAGAAAAAATAAGTACAATTTTTATGATCCACCACTTCATTCATCAAAACTTTAAACATCAATTTAATGACACAACAACATATTATACTATACAGCTACTTATTCAATTATTTTAAAGTTATCTAGTTCTTAAAGTTAATGTAGTAAGTATCTAATATGTATCTATTATTCAGTAAAAACTAAGAACCATTAAGAATCACTGGTAAAAAAAACTTTATAAGTCATCAATCATTAGTGAAAATGTAATTAAATAAATACAATGAACCTATAATTAATATTTAATTTAGCCATTAATCTCTTTCTGTCTCTTCTCCCTCCCCCCCTAAGTTAACTTTCTGGCTATAATGTGTATTATTTAGCTTATTTTCAGTACAGTTCATCAGATTCATCATATATATAACATTTACTTTTACTTTTCACTAAAAATGTTTAGTCTTCATTTTTTTTGGGGGGGGGGGGGGTGTTCTGTATTTTCGTATACGGACAAATAAATTATAATTCATAATATACATCCTTACAATATTATAAACAGTATTGGTTTTTATCTTGTATCTAATATCATCAATATTTCATTATTAGGATTTCACCAAACACTATTCTTGAAATATCAAATAAGTGAATTTTACACGTGTATAACATAATTAGCATAAAAATCAAGTTAAATTATTTTGTACCATTTTTTTGCTGTGGCGCAAGGTATACAATATACATTTTATGATAAACACAAAATACGTGATGGATGTTTACTAAACTTGAGTGGCGGAGGATTTTTTAGACGAGTGTCAACTAAACCTGTACTTAGCTATATACCTACCCAAAAGTACGTATCTGCCAATTACTTGCAAATCATATTTTATTTTATTGTAATCATTAAATTGTCAGACTGGTGATACAATGAACATATTGATGGGCTGTATTTATTCTGGTTGTATACAATTATATAATCAGTGATGTATAACTGGTATAAAATATAAAACTTGACATGTTTTTTTTTTTGTTATCCAGTTTTGAAAAAGTTCTACTATTTCACCAAAACCGATATACATGGTGTCCTGTGAAGATTTACCCATTGCGAAATCTCCTGAAATAATGGAGATATCATAGTTCTGGGTTTTTAATTAAACTCACAGGCAGGGCTTGAAACCGAAAATTTTTTTTTCGGTTTCGGACACCGGTATTTATTATTTTTCGATTTAGGTTTCAGTTTAGGCTACCGGCATTGATTTTTTCCGATTTCAATTTCAGCTTCGGATACCGGTATTGATTTTTTCCGGTTTCAGTTTCGGTTTGATTTCGATTTCGGTTTTTAACGGTTTTAACCGGTATTCAAAACTGATATCGAAAATCGGTTTCAAGCCCTGCTCACAGGGTTAAGAACTACAAGATTCCACGACAAAAATTGAGAATTATTTAATACCATAGTAGTGTCAAACATGTGGTGCGTGCTCGTACGGCCGGCGAACGCTTTCAGTGTGGCCCATATTTTTCTCGAAACTGGAAAAAATACTAAAAACCAGGAGATTAATGAAAATAAAATTGAAACAACAATGTTTTCAGAAAAATGAATTCTACAAAATCTTAAATTCTTTTGAAAATAATTAAATAAAAAAATATATTTTTTAAATTTTTAAACATTGAATTTTTGTAGTCCTTGTCCCAGTGAGTCTTATTAAAAAAACAGAATTATGATATCTCTATTATTTCAGGAGATATCGCAATGGGTAAATACTAAATCCTCACGTGACACCCCGTATATTATAAATGTATAACCTATATACCTAGTAGAAAAAAACGTCTACTAACTAAAACATTGTACCAAAGGAAAGTATTATTATTGAAATCAATAAGCTATGCGTATTGAATAAGCATTAAAAGGTTACCATTTTATTATTATTTTTTAATTTCAAAAGTCACGCTATAACGAAATAGAGACATTTTTAGATTTATGCAAATGCATACACACACGCATGCCATGCACAATGCATACAAAAGGACTAATTCTTTATT